CTAAATAGATTTTAACAGTGTATTACTCGGCGTGAAAACTTTACTTGGTTTTAATTGGGTGTGGCAAAGTTAACCCACCTATGTGTTCGCGAAATAACCATTGAGGATTCCCTAACTTTTTGAACGAAAGTTAAATTGTCTCATTAAGCAGTTTGGGGTTTGTTTACGCGCCATTTTCCCAATGCCAGCGACATTTTGTTAGGGGTGGGCGGGAAAAGTGGTAATTTGCGGAGCTGTCAAAATATTTGTCTGTGGTCGACGCGCGCTTTGCGTTTCATTCATTACGACTATTTCGCACTATGGTTAATTGAGTTCTCGGATTCTATTTGTTCTCGGTAATGGCTTCATTTTGCGTGATAATTGTTTTGTTACAATTTTATTTTTGCGTCTTTACACTCAGTAATTGAACAATCAAATAGATATGAATACGCCTGAATTATTAATCTTTTTTAATTAGCATTCTTGTCTCAATTATCTCCATTACATTAAAAGAACATTTTAATTCAAAATGAATTGCCTATTACAGCCTCAAGTCCTTATGCAAACAAAAATACGTGTATTATTTATCTCCGCCCACATCTAAAGTCCTTTTTACATGGAACAATAACTCAGGCGCCATCTCTCGTCAGTTATTACGGCGTTATGAGCCTCTTTAAGCTTTTAATCGCATTTGCAGGCATTGTGTTACTAAATCCACAAGTACTGGGATTTGGCTACAAAATCCAAGGCATTAAATTTGTGTTTCCTTTTGTTAGGAAAATGTTATTATAAAACGTAAAAACACCGATTAAGTGGAAGAGCCATGCTTTGGCACGAATGGGCCGACTCGACCGGAGTGATACCACAGCCTCACAGAAAACCGACGTGAAGCAACGCTTGCGTTGTGTTTCATCGTGTGAGTGAGGTTACCGGAGGCCCAATTACCCTCCCCTTCCCCAATCTCCTCAATCCCTGAATCCCCAACGATCCTCAAACTCCTAATCTCCAATAGGCCGGTAACGCACTTGTAACGCCTCTGATGTTCCAGGTGTCCATGGGCGACGGCGATTGCTTACCATCAGGTGATCCGTCTGCTCGTTTACCGGCTTATGCCATAAAAAAATACGGTTAGGTACGCTACGATTTCTCACAAAATATTGATATAAAAATTATAGGTCGATGTTGGCGCTCCTTTCTCATCTTAATTGACAATTAAGGCAAACAAACACCACTATAATCCTTTTGTGATTTAATAGCAACTAGTTCTACCCAGTTACTAGCAACTAGTTTACATTATAGAGGTACTAGAACTGCGATGCAATCCTTATTCAACATTTTAACTTAAATAAACCATTACAAAGCTTGTCACCACCTAGGGCTTGTCATAATTTGTCCATTCGTTCCAAACTTCGTCCGCAAAACCCCTTCACAATATTACAGTGACTAGTAAAAAGTAATCCATTTGTGAGTAACCCCGGGGGGTGTTTTGTTACATGCTACATAAAAGCCTTTAAGCATTTTTACTGTGTTTTAATAATAAACTGTCGTGTCGTCTGGCGAAGCTCGTAAAACTGAATATATTCGCTTTACGATACCTTGTAAAATGGCGGCCAGTCTTATCAAGTACAAATCAACTGGCATTTTGAATTATTTTCTTCTGTTTCTCGATGTGTTTTAAGATCTTGAATGCTCTACCTAATTTGTAAGTTTATAGTATAACTGCTAATTTTATGTTTGTAATCGCCAACCCGCATTGAGCAAGCGTGGTGAATAATGCTCAAACCTTCTCCGTGTGAAAAGAGGTTTTGCTCAGCAGTGGGCATTTATAGGCTGTTGAAGATGATGATGATGGTAGGTCTAATTCTGAAGGTTTGTTTAATGTATAAGTACTAATGTTCGAGATGTACTTCATAACAGTAACATAACATAACATCACGCCTTTTATCTCCGAAGGGGTAGGCAGAGGTGTACATTACGGCACTCAATGCCACTATACAATTATATGAGTCCTATATAATAAGGGGTGAGCCTATTATTCTATAATAGAATAATGTCTTATCTTGTTATAAGTTCACTATCCGAGAATCAGACGAATTGTTCATGATGACAAGTTCCAATCTAGATTCTAGTATGGAACTAACAGGTTTAAGTGTGGGAGAGCCATGCTTTGGCACAAATGGGCCGGCTCGACCGGAGTGATACCACGGTCTCACAGAAAACCGACGTGAAACAACGTTTGCGTTGTGTTTCGTCGTGGAAGTCAGGTTACCGGAGACCCGATTACCGCCCACCCCCCCACTCCCCAGTCTCTCCATTAGCCGAATTCCCAATTACCAACAGACCGGTAACACATTTGTAACGCCTTGGTGTTCCAGGTGTCCATAGGCGGCGCCGATTGCTTACCATCCCGTCTGCTCGTTTAGTGGCTTATGCCATAAAAAAACACAATTACATAACTTTCTCGTATAAGTACCTAAATACAGTACTTATCTAAACGAAGAAAACATAATAATATAGAAGTTTCTGTCTGGTATAATTTGATACCTTTGGGTACTCGAGTGCCATCGAAACTTCTCTTCAACATCTTAGTTCTGAGAAGCGACGTAATAGACGAAATACTTGGAACAGCTTTCCTCAGTAAATACACTGAAATTTCTTTGAAATGATTTAATTGAAATATTGTACCTATCAAGTCTCAAGAATTTTGCTTGGAAAATAATTAATCTTTGCAAAGGTATCTTGTTTACTTATAAAAAATATGTTCAAAGATTTTTCAAAGAAGAAATAATATATGTTGCTGCAAAAAGAATGTTATGTACAAGATAATATTATACACCCACTTTTGACCCGAAATCGGTACTAGCAGGTAATAGCCGCGGAGAACCTAACGGATTGCCGAGGCTCCGGCTCGACGTGCAGGAGTAGGAACGCGGTGGGTTTTAGTCAGTAAGAGTCTGACACTACCTCCCGCCTCACCCAAGCGGGATAAGTCATTCAACAATCCCCCCCCCTCCCCTTAAAAATCGTATCTAACACAATCAAACATCGGGCACACATCCAAGTTATAGGCTTGGTACTCAGAATTTTCGAATCTAATTTAAATCCAATAATATGTAGGTACCTACTTGATCTGAGGTTCGAATTGTCATGGTTGTTCCCTTGTATTTCTGAACTTTAACTCAGAAAATATCCTACTAATATTATAAATGCGAAAGTTTGTGACGATGTATGTATGTATGTGTGTTTGTTTGTTCCTCTTTCACGTCAAAACGGCTGAAGGGATCGTGATAAAATTTGGAACAAGGATAGATTATGGCCTGGAAAAACACATAGGCCCCTTTTTATCCCACAAGAACCCGAACGAAGCCACTGGCAGAAGCTAGTGTGCGAAATAAATACTTATGTTCCCCACTTGACGTTTTTACGTCCTCACATTAATTGATTGATTTTCTATCCGAATGCGTAACGCGACGCCCACTCAAATATTTTTCCAATAAAACGTAAACTAAACCCGCCCCTAGGGGGTCAGTCGTAAAATATCGGGGAAGTGTCAGACCCCTATGGACCCCAACATAAAGTTTGTTACGTTACTTTCGAACCCCACACGTGGACATAGTTAGGGAACCGGTATTTTGGACCAAATACAAAAGTTTATTTGGTTACAGGTTAGTAGGGACTCGATTACGAGATGTTGTTTTTCTGTAAGGGTTAAAATATGTTTAGGTTCGATTTAAATAACAAAGAAGTTTTGAACACGCATTCTAACTGGTTTGTCTCAGGGTTTAAGTTTCTGGACTATCGTAAGGGATTTAACCGCTTACCGAAGGTAGGTGAAAGTAATTGACAATTAAAATATCTCTATGGGGACTGCCTCGTTGGTCGAGTGGTCGCAAGTGCGACTGCTGGGCAAGGGATCTCGGATTCGATTCCTGGGTCGAGCAAAGACTTACTGGGTATTTAAAAAAAATCTCAGTAGTAACACGGAGTCTGGAATTATGACCGTTATATGGCATAGGCTTACCCCTTATTACATGTGACTCATAACATAAATAGTGAAAAGTGGGTGTTACATTGTACAGTGGTATAATGTGCACTTCTGCCTACCCCTTTGAGGATAAAAGGCGTGATGTTATGTTATGTATGTTATGTTAGGTACATAAAACAGACAATCCTACATAGGTAGGCTATTTATTTCTATTAGTAGGTAAAAGCATTGTTTTACAAAGAAATCAATTATAAAGGCTATGTACTAGATCCTCATACAAGAGAACTAATATATCCGTACATAGGTAGCCTTAGTACATATGTACTTTGGCCTAGTGTCCCGTCAGATATGACCTAGTTTATGTACCGGGTCTGAACGCATAACGTAAGGTTATTGCCTCGGCACACGATCCACGGTAATCGATAACCAACGAAGCGATATTTGGAAGTATTTACTGATATATTTTGTATGTAGGGTGTAAACGGAACGCTGTCAAACGCAGAATTTTTTTACAACTTGAGCATTTGATTATAATATTATCAAATATTGACATAACATAACATCACGCCTTTTATCCCCGAAGGGGTAAGCAGAGGTGCACATTATGCCACTGTACAATGTAGGTAACACCCACTTTTCACTATTTATGTTATGAGTCCCATGTAATAGGGGGTGAGCCTATTGCCATATACCGGGCACAACTCCAAACTCCGTGCTACTACTAAGATTTTTTTTTAAAACCCAGTAATACTTTGCCCGACCCGGGAATCGAACCCGAGACCCCTTGCCCGGCAGTCGCACTTGCGGTCTTAAGTCAACTCGGCCAACGATTCAGGCATTATCAAATATTATGTATGACCTCACCATTTATGGGACCGCAGGGCCACTTGGGAGGCGTATGCAATTTTCCCGTAACTATAGGTATATATTTGATACTTGGTAGTTGCTACCTTAGTTTCAAAATCTTACGAAAAAACTCCAAACGCACTCGAGGTAAAGCACCCTTAACTTCAACTCCTTCCTATTTCATCCACAGCTATGAGACGGAGAAGAACGCGCTGGTGGTGTCGGTGGTCTCCTGCCAGAATCTCCCTGGTCGCGAGCCTGCTGGACCTGATCCATACGTTAAGCTGCAGCTGCTGCCTGATAAACAGCATAAGGTCAAGACCAGGTTAGTACCATGTGTTATGTAGTTGTTTGCAGTGAAAGGTGCCTTTTTATATGATAGACCGGCAAAGGAGAAGACGGATCAGCTGATGGTAAACAATCGGTGCCGCTCATAGACACCCGCAACACCAGAGAAGTTTTAAGTATGTTGCCAGCCTTTTGAGGGATAGGGGATTTGGGACGTGGAAAATTTTCATGGAGCTCCTTCACTTGATGAGAACAAAGACGACCGTTGGACTATCACTGACTGAAAACCACATCAGTGCCCATGTGTATTCTCACGTGGGTGCGAAGGTGTGGAAAATCCTTCTCTCGTAGTCCCTGCACATGTGGAGATCTGTCTTCCCGAACCAGGCTTGGCAAGCTGTAGCAGAGGTTCTGAAAAAAAAAGATATACATTTGTAAATATATAACAGAGTACCAAGAATATCCAAGAGTGTTAACATCCAAAAAGTTTTCCAATCAATCAAAACTTCATGATCGTTAGAGACATACCGAACTAAGTACTCCTGATTACATACAGGGTTGTCCGCAAGACCCGCTGCCCGGTTTACGATGAGGACTTCACTTTCTACGGCATCTACCAGCACCAGATCTCCCTCATCACCCTGCACTTCGTTGTCCTCAGCTTTGACAGGTCTGTAAATTATTATTATTACAATAATATTTTTATGTTTAGTCGAGTGAATTTTTGGAATGTTAAGTAAAGGTCTTCCTTGCTTTACATCAGGCTTACTTACTTCTTTACCTGCTGCTTGTACTCATTCGAAAAAAGTCCCCTTAAAAATAAAGGCTCGTATTCACATGGCAACATTTGACCAGTAACATGTTGCAGCACACGGTAACTCAGCATTGTTGTCTATCCTCAGAAGTTCGACTAGTTACGTTAATTACATAACGTTGCAAAATTTTGTTGAGCATCACGTGTCGCGCATTAACTGTAGCCTATTTATTACGCTTTTAATAAGTCTTTCAATATTAGAAATACAAAGGAAATCATCCCATAATTCACAAAATGATACAAATGCTTACTATTAATTTTCAGATATTCCCGCGATGAGATAATTGGCGAGGTAGTGGCACCGCTGACGAGCCTGCAGTTGCAGAGTGGCGAGCCCATGGCCCTCTGTCGCGAGATCCAACCACGCAGCCTGAAGGTACAATACTTCGTACTTAATAATCCCGTCGTGGAACATTTCCTTCATTAGTAAAATACATGATCCTTAAATGTCCCACGCTCACCACGTCCTATTTTTTCCGATTTTGAATCCATATTCCTGTATTAAACCTCAAGCTTTTTAGAATCGATGAATCTTTTTTTTATATTTCATGTCCAAGTCAAGTATCGAGTCCATTTTTGCAAAACAAGTTTGGGGATTATAGGAAATCACTCTGTATTGTTTCTTAATGGTGTCATACGGAAGTCCTAGAAGTGAAATTGTTTAATAATTCTGTCGTCTTACCTGATATACAAGGTGTTGTTTTAAAGCCGCGTCATTTTTAGGAGGTAATTTTATTCGGCTATCGATTCTGAGTCCGAATTAATAAAAAAAATTGTAGGTAATTAAATATTTTTCATTTTTCTGTAAATTACGAAAATCAGTAAGTGCGAACTACACGCCGCCGTCTTGTAACTAGCTTTATAACGCGGCTTGACACACACAAACTCAAACACGTAATTGATATTATTCCTAACTCCATAAAACTTCAATAAGAAACATTGCTGTCGCTTATTCTGAAAACTAATCTTTATTATAGCCATATTTTTAACTATTGGCCCGAAACTTTCTCTTACATTGAACATTAATGACTTCTGTGACATGTCTCCAAAAAATGACACGGTTTCAAAAGTACACCTTGTAAATGAGGATCCGTGCAGTAAGTGGGTGTTCGTGTTGCGTAGATGCGTAGCGTGGGCCGCGGCGAGGTGTTGGTGTCGCTGTGCTGGCAGCCGGCGGCGGCGCGCCTCACCGTCGTGCTGCTCAAGGCGCGCAACCTGCCCAAGATGGACGTCACCGGACTCGCTGACCCGTTCGTATACCTTCTTACTTACTGTCTTTTGAAAGCAACATGTCTATAGCTTCGACGGGATTTCTTGTCTTCTGAGTGCATGCTCTCTTTTCCTTCTAAATGTAATTGATATAAATTATTACTTGCACCTCATAATCAACCAAGTTCTTTGTCAGCATGCTCTGTTAATGTTTTATAAAACTTATTTTTAGTAGCTATTACCCATGTCCTTTAAAAACCCTTCAAGATCCCACCTATATGTCGCTTATTTCCTAACACCAAGATAGATCTCATTAGTCCAGTGTAACAACTGTAAAACATAAAGTACATTTTACAAGAAAGTCCCCGATCGTAATAACTAATGGGATAACAATAAATGAAGGTATTTGCGCACAAAATCGTTTTATAAGCGGAACACAAGCGAACAAGTGAGTTTTATGTGCAGACTTGTTCAAAAATGTTAGACATGGCTATTACGATCTTATTGCAATTGTGTTCATTTTGCTCGTGTCATACAAGCGATATTCCGAATCCACACAACATAACATAACATCACGACTTTTATCCCCGAAGGGGTAACAGAGGTGCACACAGAAGTAACACCCACTTTTCACTATTTATGTTATGAGTTCCATATAATAGGGGGTGAGGCTATTGCCATATACCGTGCACATTTCTAGACTCCGTGCTACTACTGAGACTTATAAAAACCCAGTAATACTTTGCCCGACTCGGGAATCGAGCTTCAGACCACACTTGCGACCACTCGGTCATCGAGGCAGCCCACAACATGAAATACAAAAAAATCACTATCTTACCTTAAACTGTCAAACACCAAGCGATCACCGGTGACCGCAACCTATTGTTCTTTAATTGTGTCTATAAAACCGGTACTCGACGAGGTCTTCTTTCACTTCTTTCACAGGTACGTGAAAATGTATTTGTTGTACAATGGACAACGCATCGCAAAGAAGAAAACCCACGTGAAGAAGCGGACCTTGAACCCGGTGTTCAACGAATCATTTGTATTCGAAGTCCCGGCCGCCCCCAACGCGACATTAGACCACGTGTCCCTCGAGCTGCTCGTGCTCGACTGGGACCGGGTCACTAAGAATGAGGTATGACGAATATATATATATATCTGTGCTGTCAAGGTAAAGGGGGATGGGTCTAAAGACACAACTTTTCACCAGGGGCTAATAAAAAAAAACGCGTGTTTGTTTTGTAATATAAATGCAGTTTAATCAAAAGTATATAGAACTCTGTTTTAATATTTATTTATTAATTTAGTCGTCTTTTATATGTACTCGAAAAGTATTTTTATTTCTTAAACTGTCAAACACCGAGCGGTCACTGATGACCGCGATCTATTGTTCTTTAATTGTGTCTATAATGACGGTACTCAACGAGTTAATTATTAAAATAACTGACTCATCCCCTTTTACCTTAACACCACAGATATATAGCTATATTATTTAATATTAACCTTTGTTTACTGTCTCTCTCTCTCTTTGCTGTTAGTTTATTCTCGTTAATAATACCTTCTAAATAAGGTACTTATTTTTCGCAGATTTTCTACTTAAACCCTAAAGTTGACTGGTAGAAAATGCCATATGGCATTAAGTTCGCCTTATGTGCCATAGTAAAATTGTGTACATAAAAGAACAAATAAATAAAAAAAAAGTATGGCCTTGAGATCTGTGGATTAGGAATAAATTACGATGACTCTTTTTGGAGATGTTTACAAACACCATTGAATGGAACTCGTGTGTAAAGAGCACTGTACCTTATGAGTTCAATTATTATCCCTTAGAGCGCCACGTCAGTCACCGGTGCCTGACGCTAGTGGAGGTTTGACTTTCACCATTTTAAACTTGGCAGTTAAAGTATTATTAACTCAATAGGTTAGTCAATGCAATCCACACCCAGGATACCAGGAAGGATTCAGACGACATAATATAACATTACATCACGTCTTTTATCCTCGAAGAGGTAGGCAGAGGTGCACACAGAAGTAACACCCACTGAGCCTATTGCCATATACCGGGAACAATTCCAGACTCAGTGCTACTACTTACTGTGATTTTTTCAAAAACCCAGTAATACTTTGCCCGACCCGGGAATCAAACCCGAGACCCCTTGCCCGGCAGTCGATTTGCTTCTAAACTGAGAATTACGAAAATCCCAATTATAGAACAGTCTTGTTAAAGACATATATCATAAAATCAGTATATCTTATAATTCATAACTTACTTGACCACTGACAACCCTCGTCACAGGTGATCGGTCGGCTGGAGCTGGGCGCGGTGGGCGCGGGCAGCGCGCGGCACCACTGGCGCGAGGTGCAGGCGGCGCCGCGCCGACAGATCGCCGACTGGCACAAGCTCAAGGAGTGAACGCGACACCTCCCTGCTTGCACCGCCTGATCTTGTAGCCCCTCGAATTATATACTTGTTCATCAGAAGAACCGATTAGGAAGATCTCCCCGAGAGATCTCAGGGAGATCTTCACACATGTAATTGTCAACTTGTAAGTTTATTGTCCCGAAAGAGCTCTATAAGCTAGAGAGACAACCAGGACCTTTTATTTCATATTTCGCAATTATGTAGTGATAAAGATGGTCCCTACATGGCTACATGGTCAGGTTATATGTGCAGTCATCACGTTTCCCAATCCCTATATCCCTACAACATTTTAATTGCCTAAAATGCGTAACGTATTATACAATCATTTGAAAATATTGGTCAGAATTATTTGGTATGATGAACGTCCAAATACTCAAACGCTTCCCAATTTGACGCAACTTACCACGGCATTTTCAAAGTACTTAATTTTTGAACGATATAGGTATCGCAACTTGTCTCGAATTCACAAATGTTGTTGTTGACCATTTTGAAATCGAGTAGCGTTTCAGTATTTGGGCGTAGTTTCACTTATTATTATTGCACAGATTATAAATAGAAATTACGGCCAAGCCAAAGTCCAGCGGTGGTTTCCAAGCATTTTATTTAGTGTTAATTTGTAAACTAAAAAAAAAATGATATTGTATATTAGATAGATGAAATTATTTGGAATTTATTCGCGTGGAATATTTGTATATTTGTTTGTTTGTAAGCGCACAGCATCCCATACCCTTCCCCAGTAACTGACGGATTATAGTAAACGTATATTCGTGTTTATCTGAATGTAGATCAACTTTGTCTTGAAACGGGAGGGAAGAAGTAACAGGAAAGTTCCCAAATTAATATTTCAAAAACAATAATCGAAAAATAGTCTGTCAAATATCATACGCAGAATGCTCAATATTCTACAGAACTTTTAAAAGAATCTCCCGTTTCAATCTCTTCTAATTATCTACATATCTAATTATAAGAACACTTGATGTAATGGAATTCATACCTTACGTGTTAAGCTTTACGATCCTGAATCCCATGCACCTAAACGTTAAACTAATGATATCTCTTGCTCACGGAAGAAAAAAGATGGCGAACTTTAGAGCTGTCAAATTTGACCGTTATAAAATCCTTGTCGTCTCTTTCTTGTGACGAATGTTAGTAAGAGATGGCAATAGTTTAAATATAGTTTAGGCGTACCAGAAAACCTTTGCTAAACCCTATAAGCTAAAAGTTAGAATAGTATTTAATTTACAATTTAGCTCTCATAAATCAAAATTATTAAAAAAATGTCTGCAGCCGAATCTATAAAGTCAACGTAAACTTTGGTATCTAGTCATTAGTTTCTCTCATTATCTAGATATCCTAAATTACTACGGTAAAACTACAGGAAAACAATTAAACTGACAGTTTAGCTCATGCACGTCACAGCCGTTAGCATGCGCAGGATTCGAAAAAAATAATACTCATTGATCAACTAGAACATAACATGTATAGTTTTTAGGTTAGAAAAATAAATCTATTTTATACCTAAAGTTACTTTAATAGTTGTTTAGGTATGTGTAAAGCTCAGAACGAAGCTTCGAAACTGTCTCGTATCCTCATAGTGTCGCTGTGTAACGATAGATGGCGCTGTTCTTAATTCATGTCATACGCCAACGTATTTTTTGAAATCGTAGCAGAGCAGATGTAATTATTTAATCATTGATGACGTAATTTGTGTCAGAAAGTAGTAGAGACAATATACGAATTATATTTAATTTCCCTATTAAATATGTATGTACAGTTATTCTCTGTGGATATTGGAACCAACGCTAATGTCTTACTTATATATTCGTTGTTGTAGTGGATTTAAACGTATGTAGACGTCAATATCCCTTTATATAAGTAACTCCATACTTAACACATTCCAAATTATTTAAAAGATGTAAATAGTCATTGCTTGGATCATCGGAAAACCGCTTTCTCATTCTAATTGTTAAAATAAGAAATTATAATTAGATTTAAGAACTTACTATGATAAAAACTAGGCTTCATTTAGGATGATGGTACAAATTTTAACAAGCTTTAGTTTAGAATTGGATTAAAAATGTACCTAATTGCAATATATTGATGCATATGCTATGGTCTTATAGAAATCGTGTTTAAAGATCAAAATCGGTTGATACAACTACAGATAAAGTTTGTTAAAGTTTCTAACATCATTTTAAATGAAGTATAAATGTTTCCGTTTTAAAGATCTCGTGTGTTATACTTTCTAAGTACTAGATACTTAATTTGTATTTAATTTCATAAATGTACATGTGTCGTAGATGAAACATGCGAAACTGGTTCTTATCGCTAAAGGCATAAGATCTGTTTTGTTACTAGGATATGCTGTAAGTAATTTGGAAATTGATGAAGTATTTATGTTCGATTTTTTTGAAAGCAATGAAACAGATCTTAGGTTTCATTAATAAAATTAATGTTGCAATTGTACTTAGACATTTATCAACATCGAAACACTAGTTAAAAAAACACTAAGTAATACAATTTTATGGTAGTCACTCCATACACTACATTACCAATGTCAAAAATAATCGGAAATGTCAACCAAAATGTCATGACAAAATGTCGAAAAAACTCATATTTTCCGACACTTTCCGAGTTGATAAATGTGTCAGTAAAGCAAGTTACCAGCTGTACCAGCACTGTAGTATACTAGACCACGTCATCCAAATCACAAATATCAGAATTGTATACTAAGGGAATTTTAGTGAATAAAATTTATTGACTGGTGCTTTCACAATATATTGCGAGTTTTATTTATTTACCTATAGTATGTAGTACCTACCTACCTACCTAAGTCCTTGTCAGTGGCATGCACAGGTTTTCGAGACAGGGTAGGCAAGAAATATTGTAAGATTAAACACCCCCTCCCCCCGTCGTACAATCACTTTTTTTATGGTATAAGCCGGTAAACAAGCAGACGGATCACCTGATGGTAAGCAATGGGCGTCGCCCATGGACACAGAGGCGTTACAAGTGCGTTACCGGCCTTTTGGAATTAGGAATTTGAGGATTGTTGGGATTCAGGGATTGGGGACAGTAAAGGAAATAGCCTGATAACAAAACACGAGCTGCGTGACGTAGAATTGAAACTAACTGATGCAGACGACGAGATTTTGTAAAGTCGCACCCCGTGTCATGCCGAAAGAACAATAGCATAGTATAAAGAACTTAAACTGTTCTTTATACTATGACAATAGTGACCAATCACAAAGCTTGTCGATTGTTTGGAATTGAAGCGCAGGTAAAAACTACGAATAATACAAATATGAAACAATAGGTTGACCGTCTCGCAATTTTACCTGCTAAACTTCTCCCTTCCCTGTTATACATGCAAAAGTATTGACAATCATACCTTTTTGGATAGCTGATAAGACAAGGATATTTTTCTAAAATCTTGTACCTACATCAGGCGTGGTAATTTTTTTTCACTAGACAACATTTTGTATGAAGTTCTAGCTAAAATAACAAAAAAATTTTAACATAACATCACGCCTTTTATCCCCGAAGGGGTAGGCAGAGGTGCACACAGAAGTAACACCCACTTTTCACTATTTATGTTATGAGTCCCATGTAATAGGGGGTGAGCCTATTGTCATATACCGGGCACAATTCCAGACTCCGTGCTACTAGATTTTTTAAAAACCCAGTGGTACTTTGCCCGACCCGGGAATCGAACCCGAGACCCCTTGTCCGGCAGTCGCACTTGCGACCACTCGGCCAACGAGTCAAAAAAATTTTTCTTCAGCGATATTTGCCAAAGATTAGGCATTTTTGAACTTTTAATTAACAACTATGATATTAACTGAAATTTCAGCACAGTCGCGCTGTAAATCATTTTTAAATTGGCTTCAAATGATTTAATCTGGGATTTTTTCATAAAAACCTAAAAATCTAAATAACTCAAAAACTACTGAACTTCGGTAGAACATTTGGTGGCCTAATTTGCTGCATTTTAACCCTACTATGACGCTTTGCAAGGAATACGTCGAGTTACCAGTAACCTTGTATAAGTACTTATGTGACAGACAGTGTAGTTCATACAAATTACGTTCTTAATTCAAAATCTGGTAGATAACGGCTATCCAGATATTGCGTCGCGGAGAACCTAACAGGTTACCGGGTTCCGGCTCGACGTGCAGGAGAAGGAACGGGGTAGTTTTTAGTCAGTAAGAGTCTGACACTCCCTCCCGCCTCACCCAGGCGGGAGCAGTCATTCGATGATTTTGCCCCCTTAAAAAAAATCCAGATATTGTGAAACAGGCCTTAAACCTATTATTCACAGAAGTTATTTATTAAAAAGTCAAATGGATAAAGTCCTCTCTCTTTTACAAGATTAGTTATACCTAATCCCCATGCTTAGCAGGCAACTTGAGGAAAAATAAGAAAAGTACTGCCCACCCTGTGGCGGCTGATCACGAGTTCAGAAAAGACGGACAAGTCTGTGTAAATTAAAAACCTTTTTTAGCATAACATTTATGCGTCGCGTGACGCAATCATAAGTAAATTAATAATATATTCATTGAATAACAAATGCCAGGCGTATATGATATTATCTTGACCTGAAAATCATACTTGCGAATCACTTTGCTATCAAAACGGTTCACACCTGTGTAACTAATCTGTGTATCTGTTTAACTAATAAACACAACTGCTACTCTGTTGCAAATCTATCATTCTTAATAAAATTTTCCTTACCTAGCCGATAAAATATAAGTACCGATATCTATCTAAATGACTGCCTCATTGGTCTAGTGCGATTGCCGGGCAAGGGGTCTCGTGTTCAGTTCCCGAGTCGGGCAAAGTATTACCTTCTGGGTTTTAAAAAAAATCTCATTGCTAGCACGGAGTCTGAAATTGTGCCCGGTATATGGCAATAGGCTCAAACCCTATTACATGGGACTCAATAGTGAAAAATGAGTGTTACATTGTACAGTGGCATTACCTAAGTGTCG